CTCTACAAAAAAACTTTTGAAAAAAGAATTAGGTGCAGTACTGTGTGCCTGTAGTCCTATCTACTAAGGAAGCTGAAGCTGGAAGGTCGCTTGAGCCCAGGAGTTAGAGGTTTTAATGAGCTGTGATCAAGCCACTGCACTCCAGCATGGGTGACAGAGTGAGACCCTGTACCTAAAAATAAAAAAAGAAGAAAAATGTTTCATAAAGTTATGTTTTACAAAAGTAATAAAGGTTTTATTATAGCCAGCCACTCAGCAGAGATTGGTAATTAGCCTTGAGTGAAAGGGATCAATTTGCTATTTTAAGTTGCAAGACTCTAATACAGACTTCCAATAGAGGGAGCCCAAAGCTTTTAAATGGAAATGGAGGTTTCATTTTTATTAATGTATTACAGCTCTGTCATAGTTTCCTATATTCATGTCAGTTGATTTTCTTTTTAAGCTTTCCTTTGGTAATTTGGTGATGACAATAATCCACATAGCCACTAAAGAAGATACTCTGTTTTGGGATCATTTTCCCCTGTTAACTTAAAATTTCTCTTCCAAATGTTTTATGTCATGCATTTTCTTCTGACTTGCAATTTGAAAAACACGGATACAAATAGTACATATATCCTAAGTTCAACTCCTTTATGCTAGGAACATTAGTCAGTTTTGAATGAAATTACTAATAATGATATTCATTTGCAAGGTGAACTCTTGAACATTTGCATTATATGGTTATCACTCTTTTCAAAATAATATTTCATTATTTATATGTAATTTATGTAAACATTTAAACTTTTTCCTAATTTTAACAATAATGCATATTTATATTAAAAATATATAGAAAAGTATAAAATTGATATTACCTATAATCCATTCCTCAATAATAAGCATTGATAATATTTTGATATGCTTTCATCTAAATATTTTTCTGGATTAAATGATTATAATCATGAAAAATGGTGTTATTTTTATTCATTTCACACTATCCTATTTTGATATTAATCTTTACTGTAGGCCTATGACATACATAGGAGAGCAATTAATATTTCTATTTTATAAATGTGGAAACTTTTTGAGGTTCAAACAGATTAAGTGTCAGAGGTAGAATAAAACACAGGTCTAATATCTATCAGATGCATTTAAGTTAAAAAACATAATATTAAAATAAACACCCAAATGTTCACCTTCTATTAGAAAATAGACTATTACCAGTATCACCGAAGCCTTGTTTGTTCCCCACTGTGCCCATTCTGTCCCATTTCCATGCATTCGCCTTAGAATGAACCACTTTTCTGAATTTTAGCTTTTGTATAATTGTGAACTTTAGAAAAATGATTCAGGTTACTGAACAATATGTATTCTTACATAGCAGGCATTTTTTTTCTTGCCCAACATTTTTGTGAGATTCATTCATGTTAATGCATAGAACTAGAGATCATCCAGTTTTACTTATGTATTTATTGTATTAATATTAAAAATAGATTTACCTACTTTTTATTGATGGAGTTTGGATTGTATCCAATTTTTTTGCTCTTATAAACAATGCTCCTTTGGACATTTCATTTTATATGTGTTGCCAGTAAATAATATGGATCTGAATACTTCTCTTTTTACATTCAGTCTGCATTTATTTTTAACTATAAGGCATAGTCTGTTTATATTTTATACTATTTTTCTTTATGCTTTTTATTCGGTCTGCTTGATCTTTTTTCCTTTCTTGTATTTCTTTTTTTTTTTTTTGGAGACGGGTCTTGCTATGTTGCCCAGGTTGGAGTACAGTGGCTATTTACAGGCATGATTGTAGTGCACTACAGCCTTGAACTCCTGGTTTCAAGTCAGCCTTTGAAGTAGCTGTGACTATAGGTGTGCACCACTGTACCCAGCCCATTCTTGTATTTTAAAGATTAATTATGTTTTGTTTTTTTGTGTGTGTGGTGGGGGGGTGGTATTTTTGCTTTATGTTTTAGAAGATTTAGACTCTATTTCTATCTTTAAATAGTTTTCTAGAAATTATATTTGACCTAACAAAGTCCAAAGTTAATTAGTATCTGTGTTCTCATTTTGAATAATAGAGACTTTATCTATTTTAAGTACATTTACATTATTGTATAGCCATTACCACCATTCATTTTCGGAACTTTTTTCATTTTTACGAAACTGAAACTCTGTATCTGTGAAACAGTAACTCCTCATTCCTCTCTCCCCTAAACCCTGACAACCACAATTCTACTTTCTGTTTCTATGATTTGATGGCCCTAAGTACATTAAATAAATGGAATCACAGTATTTGCCCTTTTCTGACTTATCTCACTTAGCATAGTGTCTTAAAAGTTCATCTATGTTGCAGCATGTGTCAGAATGTCCTTCATTTTTAAGACTGACTATATTCCATTTTATGTATCTGCTAAATTTTGTTCTATTCATCTGTTGATCAATAGTGGAGTTGCTTCTACCTTTTGGCTATTGTGTGTAATGCCGTTATGAACATGGGTGTTCAATGTGTTCGTGTCTGTCCTTTAAGTTCTTTTGGGTGTATATCCAGAAGTGGAAGTGCTGGATCATGGCAATCTATTTTTAACTTTTTTGGGAAACATCATACTATTATTCATAGTGGCTGTACCATGTTACATTGCCACCGGCAATGCACAAGGGTTCCAGTTACTCCATATCTTGCCAGTACTTGTTTTCGGTTTTTTGATAATCATCCTAATGCATGTGAGGTGGTATCTCGTTGTGGTTTTGATTTTCATTTTCCTAATGAATAGTGACATTGAACATCTTTTCATGTTACTGGCCATTTATATATCTTCTTTAGAGAAATGTTTATTCAAGTACATTGCCTGCTTTTGAATTGGATTTCTTTTGGTAAGTTGTAGGATTTCTTTATATATTCTAGATACTGATCCCTTAATAGATATGGGATTTGCACATATTTCATCTCATTCTGTTGGTTGCCTTTTTACTCTGATGAAGTCTACTTAATCTGTTTCTTTAGTTGATTGTGCTTTTGTTGTCATATCCAGAAATATTTAACAAATCTCATGTGAAAATTTTCCCCTATGTTTTCTTGCAAGAGTTTTCAAAATAGCTTTATGCCTTATGCTTAGGTCTCTGATCCATTTCACGTTAATTATTGTATATGGTGTTAGGTAAGGGTTCAGATTCATTGTTTTGCATGTGGCTATTCAGTTTTTCCAGCATCATTTTTGAAAAGGCTGCGTTCCTCATTGAATGGTCTTGTACCCTTGTTAAAACTCGTTTGACCATATATTTGAGGGTTTATTTCTGGAATCTCTATTCTAGTCGGTTGGTTAACGTGTCTGTTTTTATATTAGTACCACACTGTTTTGATTACCATAACGTTACAGAAAGTTTTGAAATCAGAGAGTATTAATCCTGCAACTTTGTACTTTATTTATTTATTTGTTTTTCTAGGTTGGTAGGTTTTTTCCTTCTGAACACTTAAAAGATTTCACTCCACAGTGTTCTTACTTGCATGGTTTCTGAGAAATCAGATACAGTTCTTGTCTTTGTTTTTCTATAGTTAAGGGCTTATTTTTTTCTGCATTTTATACACAGTTTTTAAATCTTTGATTTTTTTTTTTTGCAATTTAATATGATATGCCTAGGTGTTATTTTTTGGGCATTTATTCTCTGTGGTTTTCTCTGAATTTGCTAGTCTGTGATTTGGTGTCTGGCATTAATTTGGGGAAATTCTCATGCATTATTGCTTTGCATATTTCCTCTGTTTCTTTACCTCTTTCTTCTTCTTTTGATATTCCCATTATGCCTATGCTACACCTTTTGTAGTTGTCCCATATTTCTTCAATATTCTGTTACGGTTCTTTTGTCTTTTTTTTTCTTTGCTTTCCTGTGTTGGAATTTTCTATTTCTATATACTCAAGTTGAGAGATTCTTTCCTTTTCCATATCCTGTCTACTAGTGAGCCCATCCAAGGCATTGTTCATTTTTTGTTACAGTGTTTTGATTTTTAGTATTTCTTTTTCATTCTTTCTTACACTTTCTTTCCGCTAACATTGCCCATAAGTGCTTATATGCTGTATACTTCATCTGTTGATCATATTTGTTTTTTTATTATTTTTTCTTTTTTTATTATACTTTAAGTTCTAGGGTACATGTGCACAACGTGCAGGTTTGTTACATATGCATACATGTGCCATGTTGGTGTGCTGCACCCATTAACTCATCATTTACGTTAGGTATATCTCCTAATGCTATCCCTGCCCCCCCTCCCCACAATAGGACCCGGTATGTGACGTTCCCCTTCCTGTGTCCAAGTGATCTCATTGTTTTAAATTCCTAGTCTGATAATTCAACATCTCTGACATGTCTGGTTCTGGTTCTGATACTTGTTGTCAAACTGTGTGTGTGTGTGTGTGTGTGTGTGTGTATTTTTTTTTTTCTTTTAGTGTGGCTTTTAATTTTCTTTCTTTTTTTTGGGTGGTTGGACATGACGTACTAGATAAAAGCAACTACTGTAAGTAGACCTTTAGGAATGTGGTGGTAAGATGTGAGAGGAAGAAAAGCATTCTGCAGTCCTGTTAGGTTTCAGTCTTTTAACCCATTTATCCCTAGTTTTCCATTATTGGAATGCTACGCATGTGGAAGTTATTTATATCCTACTGCTAAAGGTTATCACCAAGCTCTGATTGTCACCAAGGTACTTGTGTCCTTGGAATTTTACTTTTTAAACCTAACTTATTTAATACTGTATAGTATTACTCTTTTGCTCATTTTGCGTGTGCACAGTCCTCCAATGTTGATATCTTGTTTTTTTTCCCCCAAAACACACATGGGGAATTTAAAAGTAGAAAAGGGAGGATAACTTATTTCTTAAATCTGAGTTCAATTTTTTTTTTACTACCCAGCTGTTACAGTCTGCCATGTGGGACTGTGTTTCTAATCTGTTGGATTTTAAAATACATGATAGTTGGCTTCTAAATTCATTTGGGCTTTATTAGAATTGAGTATAATACAATTCTGTTTTGCAGGGGCTCACAACGAAGTAAGACAGTAGATGACAATTCTGTGAAGCAGGCTGTGCACAATAAAGAAAAACGAAGAAAGGATGATGACATTTCTCTTTTAATGTCTGATACTCAGCCTAAAGGTTTGTGAACCTTAGTAAACTGTTGGAATTTGAATTTTTGCTTATTAATTTTTGTTATAAAGAAATTATTTTATTTTACTTTGAAAGGATATGTGAAAGTAAAGGGAGATTATTTGGCAACACAAAGAAAATTGTTAAACCTTTTGTGTAGTATAGTACTCATTTCCGGATTTATTTACTGATCCCAAAAGTTAAATTTTAATATTTTTTTTCTTCTTTGGGGAGACTTGGATATAGCTATGAAGTTATGTTAATTTAGCTATTTCTAAGTGTTGTTTCCATGGATATTAATGTTACTGCTAACTGGGTTTTTATTATTAGCTTATCACTGTTTGCCTACCATGAAATACATTCTCTATTCATTAGAATTTCTCTCAACTTTAGGAGGATGCCAAACAAGCCACTATTAGCAAATTTGAAGGTAAATACTTTCTAGACTTGGGCAAATTTTTTGTAGGCATCCTTGCATATACAGGATTTATGATTTGACTTATTTTTCTTGTTTGTCTCTCTTTCAAGAATTAAAAATATTTTACTGATACTTGGAGAAAAACAATTTTACATTATTTATTTGTGAAACTAACACCTTCAGGGGTCTGTTGGATTATTGATAGCTTCAAATGTTTGTTGAGGTCTCTTGCTTGCTTGCTTGCTTTCTTGCTTTTCTCTTTCTCTTTTTCTTTTTAAGACAGGGCCTTACTCTGTCACCCAGGCTGGAGTACAGTGGCATGATCACACATGATCACAGCCCACTTCAGCCTCTGTCTCCCGGGCTCAAGTGATCCTCCCACATCAGCCTCTTGAGTAGTTGAGACTATAGTCATTCACCACCATACCTGGCTCATTTTTTGTATTTTGCAGAGACAGGGTCTTGCCATGTTGCCCAGATGGTCTCAAACTCCTGGGCTCCAGCGATCTGCCTGCCTTGGCCTCCCAAAGTGCTGGGATTATAGGCATGAGCCACCACGCTTGGCCACTATTTTAGTTTTGAGTGGTTTCATAAGTTATTCGTAATACAAAGAAGTATTTTAACAGCACTATGCAGAAATTCATTGCACTTCATTTGGAGCACAGCTATTTAAAGATTCTTTTCAGTAGCCTTTTTAATAAAAAAATTTTTTTAAATGAAACTAGACTAATAACTTATGTTTGTACAAGAAACCAGCGGAAACTCTTATAAAGGCAGTCTTTGGAGAATGTGCTGTGACTTTGTACAGACAAACTTCCAATTAGTCACTGTCAATGTATAATGAAAAGCATTTTTCTTTTAAACTGTACTTTCTTAGAAATAATTACAGTCATTTCTCTGTATCTTTGTGTTCTGCACCTGCAGATTCAACCTACCAAAGATGGAAAATATTTGAAAAAACTTCAATAATACAATAATAAAAATATGTATAACAACTATTTACATAACATGTTGTATTGGATATTATAAGTAATCTAGAGATTATTTAAGCTATACAGGAGAATGTATATAGGTTATATGCAAATACTATACCTTTAGGGGCTTATGGATCCATGGATTTTGGTATCATGGGTCCCTGGGACCAATCCCTTGAGGATACTGAGGGATGACTGTATTGATTACCAAGTAAAAATATAAGTAATTGTACAAATGGGCTCATTTCAGATACTATCAAGACAAAGATTCCTACTCTACCCAGTAGTCCTCACATTGACCTGAATAAAATACTTTATGATTTATACCCAGGAGTATTACCTTAAGGTCACAGTGGCATTTTAGACATGCATCAGGGAAAAGTACATGACAAAATAAACGTTTTTTAGTTTTTCAGTATCCCTGAAGGTACCACCACTGGTAGGGAAAGTGTTTCTAATAAAATTAGCTATCAGATCTTTATTAAAGCAAAGTTTACTCTCCTACATCTGATACCAGTCATTTAAAAAAAAAACCTGTAAATGAATGGAAATTCTGAATTAAACCTTAGGTGTACCATTTTTTTCCATAGCACATTAAGTTTGCCTTGTGGAATTTGCTTTCACCAACATAATACCTTGGAAATACTTAATATTCTTTTATTTAAAGGATTTTGTCACCTTTTTAGTTTTATATGCTAGTAATATTTGCAGGTTAAATTATATATGATGCAGGTGTAATCTATTTTTACAATATTTCATTCTATATAATAAAGTTACTCATTTTTCCAGGAGACAGGCTTGACCGATGTGCAAATTAATTCTTTAAAAGAAAATTCCTGTATAACCCAAGTTTTTCTCAAGCCCCTTTCCTTTCATGAGTCATTTTACTGTAGTATAATATTTATGTTTAGAAATTATAGTTTGATATGTTGTGTGTAGAAATTGTATTAGACCACTTTTATAGTTTACAATATTACATATAAAATTTAATGTGCTGTCCTAAATATTGTGTTGATGATTTGGAGGGAGTTTTATTTTCCTTAGGGAGTGAGTAAGGTGTTTTCTCTGGAAATTGAAAGGCTATTGACCCTCTCGGAATTTTTACGCTCAATCCCATTCCAGTGCCTTCCTTTAAGTAATGTCAAAGACAGATTATCATGAATATTAGTTATTAGGAATTGTTGAAGCTACAGTAAAAGCAAGAATAGTTCGAAGAGAAGATGTGTAGTATTGAAGAACGTTCCATGAATGGAGAAGTCAGGCCAGTCAGATGAATTGAAAATTGTGAATTAAAGGCAACTGCTTTGTGACTTGCTGTGCGTAAACTTGGAGTTGGTACTTGTATGACATAGATTTGGAAAGCAAAATAATTCAGGATAACTTTTAGTTAATTAGGTGGAAACTTTTGGAAGGTATTTTTGTACAGTACATGTATTTGATAACAAATAGTATTTTTAGTAATAATTGGCATGAGTTTCAAAATGATTTCTTGTTGACTTAAAAAAGGATGTACTTCTCTAGAGTGATGGATTTATTGGAGATTTAAAATGACAGGGTCTTGATTATTGGTAAGTAAATTGGCAACCTTGTGAATGATCACATACTATAGCCAACTACAGAGCAAAGGTATTTTGGCTCCTTTTAAAGAGTAGCAATCAACACTCTTTCAAATTGTAGTCTCTTTCCACTAAAAATATGTATTTATGTAAATTACATTTTAAAAGACTAGTTTATAAAGTCACATTGAATTATCAAACTTTAAGACATGAATTTTCTAGATTTTAATAAGACCTCCCCTTTTTTGATAGTATAACCAAATTCATCTATAGCAAATGGAAAAACAGTTTGATGGCTTTGCTTTGGCTACAATGAAAAAGGATATTTCTTCTTTATGTATTTTTCTCACCTCACAACTATTGTATAATGAACATTTTACTTTGTGTATGCCAATTAAAATAGGGCATGCCTTTATCTTCATCCAGTGTCAGTATGAGAATTTAACAGTATGTTTCTATTTTAATGAGCTTTGGAAGTAGTATAGCAATTTCGATGATGTTTCTTCGAGCTCTTCTAAAAGAGATTCTCTCTATACTTTTTTGTCCATATTTATGCTTCATTTGTTTTTTAAGACCTTAACAGTGGAAGTAGAGGTTGTGATCATCTCGAACAGGAAAGCAGAAACAAGGCTGTTAAATATTCTGATTCAAAAATGGAACCCACTCTGATTTCCAGGAAGACAAAGAGAAGGCTTAGAAATAATTTACCTGATTCCCAAAATTGTGCTTCTTTGGATAAGTCAACAGAACAGACAGTAAGTAGAGGTATTTAGATATTATAGGAAATTATTTCATGCTATGATAAAAATGAGTTGACTGTGGCCAAATAATGTTCCTCTAGCTTTCAGCTTTTATTATCAGATTTCTTTTTTTTTTTGGTTCACTGTTAGCTTTATTATTAAAAAACAATTTTAAATGTAACTTTTCTTGGTGATACAGAGTTATTGGAACACATTTCAAATATTATGAATGATTAAAAAAGTTAAAATTGCTCCTTTTCTTGTATCACTCTTTCCTTAGTAGTTTGTTGTATATCCTTTAGACTTTTCTTTTTCTTTATTTCAGCCAAATACAATTCATACTGTCTAATCACTTGCTTTTTTTTGTTTGCTCTGTAAAATTATTATTAGATTTATTTTATCAGTAGCAATTCACTTATCAAATTCTTTAAGCTTCTGTTTATTTAGAGTTTAGGGAATTTATTGTAAGTAAAGAATTATCATATTAAATACATACATTTTGTACTTTCAAAGACTTAGTATATAAATAGCAATAAAACAGTAAGACAGCTTTTCAATTTCTTTGATCCATAAATCATTTCAGGATCTTGTAATGTTTTTGGGTTGTAATTATAAGCAGGATTTAGATTTATACAGTAGATGAGATACTAAAGGCAATGATTGATTTTCATAATTTTCAATGTTGTTATATTGTTAATTTAAAATTTTTTTTACCAAAGTAGTTTTACCAAAGTAGTCACATTGGCATTATTACTTTTGCAAAATAAAAATACGTAAATACATCTTCTCATTCTAAAGTTGACTTAGATCGTGGGAGACTGTCTGACAAAGCATTTGTAATGATAGAAATCTCCCAATTTCACCTTTTAAAAAATTATCAGGCATCCGATTGGACAGATCAAACCCCATATCTTTATACTTGGGAGACATTGGCAAGTATAATGTGGTATAATTGTTTAGTTTTCTATCCATGTAGTTACAGAAGTGATACAATATTTTTACTTTTTTTTAGAAATTTAAAAATGGTTTAAGCAAGCCAAATTTGAAAAATACTATTTTTTTCTATGTGTTTATGTTTAGAAAAAACAAGAAGATGACTCAACAATATCCACTGAGTTTGAAAAGTCAAGTGAAAACTGTCATCAGGATCTAAAACTGCCTGAAGAAATTACAACGAAACCTACAAAAAGTGATTTTACTAAACCATCCTCACTTAACAGTCAGGAGTTGACTTTGAGTAACACCACCAAAAGTGCCTCTGCCTGTCCAACCACTGAAATTGTTGAGAACTCTAATTCCATTGATACTGTGGGGATTTCTTCCCTGGTTGAGAAGGATGAGAATGAGTTGAATACAATAGAAAAGCCTATTCTAAGAGGACATAATGAAGGGAACCAATCATTGATCTCAGCTGAACCAAGTAAGTGGCAGGAGGATTATAAAGTTACTTAATTTCCTCTGCTTCACTTAGTTGTTTTTTTCTTCCTCTTGAACAAATTTGGCTAAGGCCATAAGCTGTTTATGACATCATTGTGGAATATATTAACTTTAGGGAAAAAAGGCTTGGGGTTTGGAGTTTCCTTCATGAGTTTTAAAATACCGGTTTAGGTAAACTAATGGAGGACTTGAAAACAGAAGTAATTTTTTCTTAGATTCGTACACAGTAATCTCACTCAGTAGTTTTAAAATAGATTCTTTAAGGACCATCATTAATGTCATTTGGTTGATGAAGTATGCAGAATTTAAGTGCTATCTAATTATTATCATTAATTTTGATTTAATCAGCTTCTGAGTAGTTGATGCCGTCACATGGTACAAAGAAATTCCAAAGGTTTTAAAGGATCTCCAGCGAATAGTCTCCCACATCTTCCCCTAGTTATTAATTTCCCATTCCTTGAAGCAATTCATGTAACAGGACTTAAGGTACAATTTAGAGTGATGGCACAATACACTGTGAGAACTAGCATTTGTTCCTAAGGCCTCCTCATGGCTTTATCCATTTTTAAACATCTTTATTCTTTAGAAGGTAAGGGTGCAGGTAACTGCTGAATAATTGCACTGATATGGAGTCATTGTCTATAACTACTGTAAATCAGATAACAAATGATAGGCCTGTTTCTAAATTGAATAAATTTAGGTGATTAAGTTTAACAGGATTATTAAAAATAAATTGCAATTATTACAAAGTTCTTTTTTTTTTTGAGACAGAGTCTCGCTCTGTGAGCTAGGCTAGAGTGCAGTGGTGCGATTTCGGCTCACTGCAGCCTCCCCTTCCCGGGCTCATGTAATTCTCCTTCATCAGCCTCCTGAGTAGCTGGGATTACAGGAATGCACCACCACGCCTGGCTAATTTTTGTATTTTTGCTAGAGACAGGGTTTCACCATATTGGCCAGGCTGATCTTGAACTCCTGACCTCAGGGAATCCACCCACCTCAGCCTCCCAGAGTGCTGGGATTATAGGAGTGAGCCACTGCACCCAACCGAAAGTTCTTTTTTTGATATGTGATTGTTACACATTTGAAATACATTTTTCAGCTGAGCGCAGTGACCCATTCCTATAATCCCAGGACTTTGGGAGGCTGAGGCAGGAAGATCACCTGAGGTCAGGAGTTTGAGACCAGTCTGACAAACATGCTGAAACCCCGCCTCTACTAAAAACACAAAAATTCGCTGGGCGTGGTGGCGGATGCCTGTAATTCCAGCTACTCAGGAGGCTGAGGCAGGAGAATTGCCTGAGCCCGGGAGGCAGAGGTTGCAGTGAGCCAAGATGGGGAGACTGTGTCTCAAAAAAAAAAAAGAATAAAAATACATTTTTCTTTTCCTTTTAGTTGTTGTTTCCAGTGATGAAGAAGGACCTGTTGAGCATAAAAGTTCAGAAATTCTTAAGTTACAATCTAAGCAAGACCATGAGACAACTAATGAAAATGAGAGTACTTCTGAATCAGCATTGTCAGAACTACCGTTGATTTCACGTGAATCTGTACAGGTAATTTATTTCTGTCTTCTCCCAGATTAACAGTGAAATATACACTATTGGTTAATGACTGTTACTTGTTTTATCAAGCTGAATATTGTAATGAAAATTAGAAATTTTCTTAGTTTGAATTTTGAGACAACTTTTATAGCAGTTTGAATGAAATATGTAGTTGTCTTTATTTTGAAATGAAAAGATTATACCATTTTTTTCTGGTGATTTATATTTTTTCAGTCTAAATATTCTATTACTTGAATATTTTTCTTTTTTTCTGGCTTTCATTGGACATTTCACTAACATTTTGTAGAATTAAAAACATTTTCTAGTATTTATATGTCTGGTCTTGGAGTATTATGGCTACTTGGAATTACTCCTTTTCCTCACATATTACGAAGGCAGTATGATATAGAGGAAAGAACGTGGCTTTGGGGATATAGGTCAGAAACCTGTCAAATTTGGTAAGTCCTCTGCCTCTTCATTCTTATAGAAAATAGTAAATGGAAGTGTGTTAGTTTAGTATCAGTCAATTAAGTCAGTCCTTTGAAGAGAGTAGGTCTAAAATAAGGTTCAAAACATTTTTTGTCAGTATTTGTTCTTTCTTTCTTTCTTTTTGAGACAGGGTCTTTTCTGTCACCCAGGCTGGAGTACAGTGGCATGATCATGGCTCACTGCAGCCTCAACCTCTTGGGCTCAAGCAGTCCTCTCATTCAGCTTCTCAAATAGCTGGGACCATAGGCTTGTGCCAGCATGCCCGGATAATGTTTTTAAAATATATATTGTTTTTAGAGATGAGGGTCTCCCTGTGTTGTCCAGGCTGGTCTCCTAACTACTGGGCTCAAGCAATCCTCCTACCTCCACCCCCCAAAGTGCCAGGATCACATGTGTGAGCTACTGCTCCCAGCTGGTACTCTTTCTTGTTATTAGCCTCTGATTATTCTATTTGTAAGAAAAGATCATTGACCATCAGTACAGAATTATGGTAAACTTATCTTGTTTTGTTTTTGAATAATGTCAGAGGCTGTTATTTTGCAGAGTATGATGAAGAGTTGGCCCGATCTATGAAAACAGTTTGGTCTGATTATTGTTTCATGGGTATTTGCTTTTGTATTTGGTATTCCACGTAGAAATCACTTCAGCAGCTTTGTTCTGAATTTTTGCAAAAATGTAACCATTTTTGCCAGATTGGGTCAATATCCTACTTGATGGTTTAGTTGCATGTATAATTAAAAGTGTCATTGTTGATAATGAATTTAAACTTATAGAAGAATTAGGCCTTGGCAGGGTATAAATTGACAATGCAGTATGAAATGATCATAGTATAAGAAAATAACATATCTTTTAGAATTTACTAAATTCATAATCACAACCAAGCAGCCAATACTGTGGAGATCTACCATAAGGCAGAATGCCACATTTCTATGCTCTCTCTTGTACCAGTTTTAAATGAATTATGAGAAGTATAGATTGGTCATTTTTAGGAGCCACCTAGTTTTTACCAAATGTGAAGCCCAGTGAGAAATTATTTCTATACCAACTTCTCATTTGATCACTAAAAAAGCCCACAGTTATTTGTCTGACTGTTGTTGGAGCTACCTGATTTGATTTGATTGATTTGATTCCCTTTTTTACTTAGGGAATAAGAAGATATTAATAGTATACTAAACAATAAAACATGAGAATGACAAAGAAATTCAATTAAGCAGGTAAATGGCATTATGAGCTGGGTTTAAAATAATGAGTATGATATGTTTTAGACAAGGATTAGTCACAATTGCTAGAGGTAAGAGGGGAGTGAGTACATGTTCATAATAATTGCTTCGGTAGTAATCTGTTTGGTCATGTGTGGTGTTAGGCATAATGTGCAGAGGTTCGGCACATTTGAAAAAGTTGAAAAAGTCATCTGAAAGTAGTATAAAATTCAGAAGAAACAGTGGGGAAGAGTTGCTGCTGATATTGCTTGGTTTTCTGTTATAATTTAAAAGCAAAGTTATATAGTCACTTGAGTGGAAGTGATATGATTTTTGAGATTTTAGGCAAGTATAAGCCATTTCTGGTTGGTTGTCTTCAAACATAGAGTATATAGATTTGATATAATGGATGGTTCTTAGGCACTTACATTCCTTCATGGTGTATTGAAAGTGCAGTAGCACACAGGCGTAAAGATGGGAACAATAGACATTGGAGACTCCAAAAGTAGGGGGGAGATGAGGAGAGCCAGGGCCATAAAACTTCCTGTTGGATATTATCTGGGTGATAGGTTCAATAGAAGCCCAACCCTCAGCATCATGCAATATTATCCTTGTAACAAATCTGCACATGTACTCCCTGAATCTAAAATAAAAAATCTTTAAAGTACAGTAGCAAGAACATTATTTTGGTTAATGGAAACAGTTTTTATGGTTGAAGTGACACTGGACCTGGAGAGAGAAACCTGCATTTGAATCTTTGTTTTGCTTCTTACAAATCGCATGATTTTGGGCAGGTCGCTTAACCAATCTAAACATCTGTTAACTTTATTTATGAAATGGAAAACTGAAAAACCTGCCTATAGGGTGGTTGTGGGGATTAAAAGAGATCATATATTTAAAAACTCATTTTAAACAAAAGTACAATATATGTTTAAAACTTACTTCTGTCAAGTTAAAAATGAATAAAACCTATTAGAGACTATTGAATGTGAAACCATGGCCTTTGATACAGAGGAGTATATATTTCTGGAATTAATTTTGAATTCAGCTATTTAGTGTAATTTTCTCAAAGGTAAGTCGTATTTTTTCAGAAAAGAAATCTAGATAACTATTTCTTCACAGTAAGAGCAGTATAAAATTCTTCAAAAATTTACTAATAGTAATTTAAAGAAGAATTTGATGGTGAAAGTCATTTTCAGTATTTATATAATACTTAGAGTTATATGCATTTTATGATTTATTCCTTGTTAGATGTCATCTGAATTATGCCCATATAATCCTGTCATGGAAAACATTTCCAGTATTATGCCTAGTAATGAGATGGATCTACAACTGGATTTTATATTTACTTCTGTTTATATTGGTAAAATTAAAGGAGCTTCTAAAGGTTGTGTTACAGTAAGTATATTTTCTTTAATTTTCTTTTAGTTTTGGATCTTGGACAAGGCATTTTAATTTTTTTCCTTTTTTTTTTTTTCTTAGGACAAATAAGAATAGAATTAAGATTTATTTTATATGGGACACTATGGATATGTTGAAAGTCATTATACCTAATTTGAAATGTGTCTTTAATTCTCCCCTCCTAACATCCCACCTAGTCTGACTACTCTAATGAAAATCATGTATGGAAAAAAATCACATTTATTGATAATCTTTGGTTTCTAAAAGTTATCTGATGGTAAAGTGAAATTTTTTTCCAGGTATAGTTTGGAACATAAAGAAGAAATCTCATTTGCCTGTTTAATCAGTTGTAAAATGACTTCTCCAAATTTCTAAATCAAGGATGTCCAGGAACTAATGCTACTCTGTTTTTCTAATTAAAAAAAAAAATACTCCTCCTCACCTACCGTATATGAAAGTGAGACTGGATTCTACTTGGTTCTTTCTCTATTTTTTTTTTTTGTCGGGGGTACAGAGTCTCATTCTTTTTCGCGGGCAGTGGCGCACTCCACTGATCTTGGCTCACTGCAACCTCCACCTTCTGGATTCAAGCGATTCTTGTGCCTCAGCCTTCTGAGTGGCCAGGACTACAGGTGCGTGGCACCACACCTGGCTAATTTTTATATTTTTTGGTAGAGACGGAGCTTCGCCATGTTTGCCAAGCTGGTCTTGAACTCTTGGCCTCAAGTGATCCGCCCACCTCAGCCTCCCAAAGTGCTGGGATTACAGGCATGAGCCACTGTGCCCAGCGAGTTCTCTATATTTTCTTACCTTTTCTACCTTTTAAAATCCTAATCATCTTTTAAAGCTTCTCTGATATACTGACTCTTCCAGGAAACTTTCCCTGATCCCTCCTTTTCAGACAGAATTAACTTCGCCCTTTGCTGTACACTTGTAACACTTCATTTGTACTTCTAAGATTTATTCTGTGTGTTTTATAATTACTTATATTCTTGTATAAACTTCTCCATTAACCTTTTAAGCTTCTTATGGTGAAGAGCCACAGTTTTAGTTCCTTTTATACCTTCCATATATCTACTTAAATGTTTGTCGAAATGACTGTGTCAGATTTAGTAACTCAGGCATTTTTTATAGCAGTTTCATTAATATTTCACTGTGTTAGGGATAGGGCAGAGAATATAAAAATGCTAAGATATGGTTTCTGCTTTCAGGGAACTTTTAATCCAATGGAAGCGACAGACACATATTTACTTTATATTATGGTAAAATGTAAAACAGAAGTATGTACAAGAAGGGTGCATATGGCAATGGATATCTATCACTGTCTGGAGGAATCAGGAAAGGCTTCACAGAGAAAACAGCACATTAGTAAGACATGAAGTACCTGTTGTTTACTTGGTAGCCATGCAGACAAAGACCTAATCCTAAATTCTGGAAACTGCAAATAATAGTAGTTTGTGATGTAGTCAACATTGCTTTGAAAGCTCAAGAATGAATTGATTTAAAATTAATATTTTTTTGGCCACTGGTTTTTACTGATTTGGGCATGTTTGGGGTGATTTTGCAATTCTTTTTCTTTAAGGAATGTTATTCATTTTTCGGGATTTTCTCCCCTATTTTACTTTATTATTTTAATTCAGGCTTACCCAGTTATTTCTGTTGAATTCTTTGTAATGGCAAAAAGTTGGATAATCTAAATATGTGAGAGTAAGTAGCCAGCGGGGAGGAAAATCCAATATAAGTATTCAACAGTGGACTTTCTATTAATTAATGTATTAATTATTATTACACAGTCAGGTGGGCATGTTATGCTCAAAAACCAAGATCAAGCAAAAAACCACAAACAGATTAGTCAAGGAACAATATTACAAACACATATAATCTTGCCTGTTTAGAGGCAGCCGCCACTCACTGTATAGTATATATCATTGCATATTTTTCATGCATATATAGATACATTAAAACAAAGGGATATTACATAATATGTACTATTTTGTCACTTACCATAATTTCATTAATTTAATTCTTCCACTTATTTTGGGATATTTGGGTTGTCTTTAAAAATTTTTAATTGTTTGTCATTTCAAATTGTCCCAATATTTTACTATTACAAATAGTAGGGGACTGCAAATATTCAAGAAGTGTTGTAAAGTGGTCCTAAAAATTAATTGTCAGAAGTCCTGGCCAGGGCCATCAGGCAAGAGAAAGAAATACAGTATGTTCAAATTGGAGGAGAGGAAGTCAAACTATCCCTGTTTGCAGATGACAATGATTCTATGTCTGGATTCTATATATATATTTATATATATATTTTCTAGATAATAGGATCTCTGCCCAAAAGCTCCTTCAGCTGATAAACAACTTCAGCAAAGTTTCAGTACACAAAATCAATGTACAAAAATCACTAGCATTAATGACTTTTCCATATTCTTTATGTTTGTACAACTTTTCTCAAGGGTAATAGCTTTCCTGTGAAATAAGGTGTAAGCACTGATTAAAAGTTTTGCCACATTCTTCACACTTGTAGGAGTTTTACCAGTATGAATTATCTTACCTACAATCTACAGTCAAGTGTGGCAACCATATAAAGGCTTTGCCACATTTTGTGCATTTCACTAGGGTTTCACACTAGTATAATTTTTTTTTTTTTAATGTATTGACAAGTTGGAGGTGTTGGTAAAAGCACCGTCAGGTTTGTAGGGTTCCTCTTCAGCATATATTATTACCATGTCTCTTAAGAATTGAGAACTTATGACTAGGCATGGTGGCTCATGCCTGTGATCCCAGCACTTTAGGAGACTGAGGCGAGTAGATCATCTGAGGTCAGGAGTTCAAGACTAGCATGGCCAAGAAGGTGAAACCCCATCTCTCCTAAAAACACAAAAATTAGCCAGGTGTGGTGGTGGGCACCTGCAATCCCAGCTACTTGGAAGGCCCAGGCAGGAGAATGGCTTGAATCTAGGAGGCGGAGGTTGCAGTGAGCCGAAATCACACCATTGCACTCCAGCCTGGGTGATAAGAGCAAAACTCTGTCTCAAAAAGAAAAAAAAAAAAAAAAGGAATTGAGAACTTGTTGTCAGGCTTTAGCCATGTTCTTCTTACACTTGTAGAGTTTTCTGCCCAGTATGAATTATGGTGTAATAACGGGTTGAGAACTTCTTTAAAAAAGCGTTTGTCCATTCTTTATATTTGTAGGGTTTTGTTCCATCATAAATTCTCATATTTAGTAAAGAGTTGGAGGGCTGGTTTAAAGGTTTTCCCACCTTCATCACATTTATGACGGGTTTCCTCTCCAGTGTAAATTAATCTTATGCTTATTAAGCGTTGAGGAAACATTTGAAAAGATTTGCCACATTATTTACTATGTATGGATGTCCTGTCCCAAATATGCAATTCCCTTTTAGTTTATTAAGGGCTGCAGGACGGTTAAAACTATTTGCCCACCATTCCTTTACCATTTGTAAGGGTTTTCTCTTATCCAAATGTAAGGTCTTCTTACTTTCCTGAAGGCCTTGACTAAACCAAGGTGAAAATTTTGCACATTGAACACATTTGTAGGGTATAACTCTCCAGTATGAATTATCTTATGTATAGTATGCCGGTTTGAGCTGAACAGTTAAAAGCTTTGCCACATTCTTCAACTTTGTAGGGTTTCTTCTCTCCGCAGTATTGAATTATATCATGTTAAATTAAGGATTGAGGATGAAAAAATGAAGGCTTTGCCCACATTTATGCATACTTGTAATAGTTTTCTTTCCAGTAAATAGAATTTTTCTTATGTGAAAAAGGGTTTGAGGGATGGTTAACAGCTTTGCACATTCTCTACAATCCTGGTCGGGTGTTCATCTCAGTATTGAATTACTTTTTTTTTTTTTTTCTTTGAGATGAGTCCTTGCTCGTGGTTGCCCACGCTGGCGTGCAGTGGTACAGCTCCTCCGGCTCACTGCAAGCTCCGCCTCCGGGTTCACGCCATGTACTCCTGCCTTCAGCCGCCCTGAGTAGCTGGGAACCTACACAGGCGCCCGGACACATGCCAGCTGATCTTTTTTTTTTATAGTAGAGACGGGTTTCACCGTGTTAGCCAGGATGGCCTCGAATCTCCTGAACCCTCGTGAGTCCACCTTGCCTTCAGCCTCCCTAAGTGCTGGATTACAGGCATGAGCCACCCGCACCGGCCATCCAGTATGAATTATCTTACATAATGTAGTATAGGTTAGAGGCCGCTTAAAGGCTTTCAGATTCCTTCACTCTGTTAAC